GATGTGGAAGGTGCTCCCTCAGGGTCTGGACTTGACAGTACCTGCCTCAATGCCAGAGTCATTGCTGCTGGTTTCTGCGGTGCTGCAGAAGAGGGAGTGCTTGACTTCATCTGCATTCTCCTCTTAACCCCATGCCTAGCAGACTTCGATGCCAGATATCTACTTTTGGTGGGCTGCTTGGAGGTCTTATGACTCTTCCCAGGCAATCCGGAGGGTGAGCCATATTGGAACTCAGACAAAGTAGGAGGCACACTCCTAACCGATGCAACATACTGACCGAACTGGCTCTGACAGAGGTCTCAAGCCTGTCTCAAAAAGTAAAAAATTTAGCCTGACTTCACGGCCCTATTTTATGAAAGGGTTAAAGTTACTGCAGAGCTGGCACCATATAAAGGGGTCAAATTAAATGTATACCCCCAAATTAAAAATCACAGTAAGAGAACCAAAAAAGTGCTACCATGGCTAAACAACAAAGTTAAAGAAGTGGTTAGAGGCAAAAAGGCATCCTGTAAAATTTGGAAGTTAAATCTTACTGAGGAAAATAGAAAGGAGCATAGTCTGGCAAGTCAAGTGTAAAAGTATAATTAGGCAGGCCAAAAAAGAATTTGAAGAGCAATTAGCCAAAGACTTAAAAATTAACAGCAAAATATATTTTAAGGACATCAGAAGCAGGAAGCCTGACAAACCATCAGCGGGGCCAGTGGACGATTGAGCTGCTAAAGGAGCTCTCAAGGAAGATAAGGCCCTTGCAGAGAAACTAAAAGAATTCCTTGCATCGGTCTTCACTGCAGAGGATGTGAGGGAGGTTCCCACACTTGAGCCATTCCTTACGCTCCTACTACTTCTATTAGTCTTAAACGTGCCACAGGACCCTCTGTTGCTTTTTACAGATTCAGACTAACATGGCTACCCCTCTGATACAAGACAGAAAATATCATATTGCCTCTATATAAATCCATGGTACACCCACATCTTGAATACTGCATGCAGATCTGGTCGCCCCATCTCAAAAAAGATATATTGGAATTGGAAAAGATACAGAAAAGGGAAACAAAAATAATTAGGGGTATGGAACAGCTTCCATATGAGGAGAGATGAATAAGACTGGACTTTTCAGCTTGGAAAAGAGACGACTAAGGGGGGATATGATAGAGGTCTATAAAATCATGACTGGTGTGGAGAAAATAAATAAGGAAGTGTTATTTATTCCTTCTCACACAATAGGAAGTATTTCTTCATACAATGCACAGTCAACCTGTGGAACTCTTTGATAGAAGATGTTGTGAAGGTCAAGACCATAACAGGGTTAAAAAAAAGCCTAGATACGTTCATGGAGGATATGTCCATCAATGGCTATTGGACAGGATGGGCACGGATGGTGTCCCTAGCCTCTGTTTGCCAGAAGCAGGGAATGGGTGACAGGGGATGGATCACTTGATTATTGCCTGTTCTGTTCATTCCCTCTGAAGCACCTGGCATTGACCACTATTGGAAGACAGGATACTGGGCTAGATAGACCTTTGGTCTGACTCAGCATGGCTGTTCTTATGTAGGTGACAAATCTGAGGAACTGTCCCAGACTGAGGTGTCAGTAGAGGAGGTTTTGGAATAAATTGGTAAATTAAATAGTAATAAATCACGAGGACCAGATAGTATTCACCCAACTGAAGGAACTGAAATATGAAATTGCAGAACTACTAACTGTGGTATGTAACCTATCATTTTAATCAGCTTCTGTACCAGAAGACTGGAGGCAGGGGCGCTGGCATAGAGGGGGCCAAGGGGGCATGGCCCTCCCACTTTTTGAATATAGACAGGCTCATCTACCTTTTGCCACGGGCAAAGAGGAGGGACAGGGGCGAGACCATGGAGTGGGTGGGGCCTCGGGGTCCCCACGCTTTTAGGCAGAATCAGTCACCCCGGGAGGATAGCTAATGTGATGCCAATTTTTAAAAAGGCTCCAGAGGCAATTAAAGGCCTAACTTCAGTAGCAGGCTAATTGGTTGAAACTATAGTAAAGAACAGAATTATCAGACACATATATAAAAACAATTTGTTGGGAAAGAGTCAACATGGTTTTTGAATAGGGAAATCATGCCTTACCGATCTGTTAGAATTCTTTGAGGGGGGTCAACAAACATACGGACAAGCATGATCTAATAGATACAGTGTAGCTGGACTTTCAGAGAGCCTTTGACAAGGTCCCTTTCCAAAGGCTCATAAGCAAAGTAAGCTGTCATGGGATAAGAGGGAAGGTCCTCTCATGGATCAGTAACTGGTTAAAAGATAGAAAACACAGGGTAGGAATAAATGGTCAGTTTTCAGAATGAAGCGAGGTAAATAGTGGTGTCTGAACTGAGACTATTGCTTTTCAATATGTTCATAAAAGCAGTAAACAGTGAGGTGGCAAAATTTGCAGATGATACAAAATTACTCAAGATAGTTAAGCAAAGTAGTTCAAAGCTTTTATACTGCTTGGACTCTCAGGGGCAAGGACTGATAAGCACAGGCAAATGATCCCTGTGCTTGGATTAGATTAGCTGTAAGGGACATATAGAGCTTGCTTATTATAATAGCTTCTATTACTTTTTGAAACTTAAGTCTGGAACTCATTTGTGTGTATATATGTTTACGTGCTTTAACCTTGTAAATAACTCTCTTATTTCCTTTGGCAACTAGTTAATAAATATTTAGACAGTTTATTATAGGATTAGCTACAAGATTTATCTTGGTTTGAGATCTAAAGATGCAATTAACCTGGGGTATCACAAAGGTAAGCTTACCTGGGTAGCAAGATAGACCGGAGTACCAGATTGGACTGTCTGTGACTTCATGTTAAGGCTGTTAAAGTGCTTGAGGCATTCACAGTTGATAACTGGTTGGTGAACTCTTAAGGGCATGTCTACACTACAAGTTTAAATTGACCTCTGTTAGGTTGACTGATAGCTGCAGTGGTTCACATCCACATCCTTCTGTTGGTGATGTGCATTCCCACCAGGAGCACTTCTACTGACTTACAAGGGACAGTGTTGGGGGGGCTAAGAGCCTGGGCTCTCAGCTCCTTGCAGCTCCCCACCCCCCACCAGGAGCACGACGGGAGAGGAGCAGCATCCAATGCTCCCTCTTTGGGCAGGCCCAGTAATTCCATATCAACAACATGTAGCCACATACCACCCCAAGCAGGACTGCTAACACCCACAAACCACAACACATAGCCACATGCTGCCGTGGGCGGGGTTACTAATACCCATGCACTATGACACACAGCCACGCACCACCTTACCAGGGCCACTAATACCCACCTGACCTGATGCACCGACAGGCACCACTCACACAGGCCAGTTAACTCATGTTGACTGCCACACCCCACCCCACACAGGCCCGCTAGGAGCCATTCACCGTGATATGAATCCTCCTGCCATTCTAAGGTGATGAGAGTTATTCTGAAGTTGCACTTTACCTAGGAGTGGATATAAGGAAATGAATGTATAGAAGTGGGCTTTACACACTTGGGGATCCCTTTTAGGTGGTGGGAATAGAACAATTCTACCAATTGTGTTCTTGTGAGTTAAAAGTATGGTTGTGACAATCTCAGAATCTATCTGTGTGAACTCATGGATTCCAGTTTGATTTTATAAACTCTCAGTATGTTTATATGCTTATGTTTGACTTTTACTGTATCCTTGCATCATTCCTCTTGTGTGAAGGGGAGGGAAACTTGCATCTGGGATCTGCCCCTGAATGAGACAGTTGGTAAGGACCATCAACAGTTGAATAACTTTGCTGTAGCAGAACAATAAGCTGCCTAACACCCAGAGGAACCCATTTTTCCAAGCAGGTTGGTAACCAAGCAATGGATCAGGGCCATTTGGTCATCTGACAAAGGGGACTACAACTTCCTTAATAAATAAATAAATAAATAAATAAATAAAAGCCTCCATCCATCAAGAGAAAGGGGAGAAGACCAGGACCAGAAGCTGACAAGGCTCAGCAAGAGGAGAAAAAGAAGAGGAAGAACCCTGAACCACCTGAAAACACACAGACCAAATCCCAAAGGCCTTTTGGAGTGAAGAAACTAAGACAGGGATTTGGGTACAGGATATTTGTATATTTCTTGGGCTATCTAAGAGTTGTGTGCGTATGTATTTAGAAATTCCTTTGCAGTGTTTCTGTGTTACTTGCTTACACTTCATGTAGTCCCCAAAGAGGGAAGCAGTACGCTGGAAGACTGGCAGCTTCAGTTGTCCTCTGAGAGCATGCACTAGCTCTTGGGAAATCTAAGGAGAGCCAGCACTAGTTTCAGGCCCTAGGCAATTGGTGTATGGGGTCGGCACCTGGAATATGTTCCTGGAGGCCCATAGCCAGATTGACAGTGCCTACACTCTGCCCAACCCCAGAAATAGAGCTGGGAAAATAGTGGATTTTTAAATTCACAGGCAATTCTACAAAATTAAAAGAAAAAAAGGTTTATTTTGGATCAAACTGAAAACAAACATTTTCAAAATTTTCAGTAAATCAAAACATTTTGAGTAAGATTGAAATTAAACATTTCAATTGCCTCAGTTTTGTAAGGATGCAGGGACTAAAACCTAGATTTGCAGAGCCTGGGGTGGCTGATATTCCCACCATACCAGCAGAAGGCCCTGCAGAGGCACAGCCAGGAAGCGCTGTGGAGAATAGGCATCGCAGGAAGTACCACCCACGAGATCCAGAGTGACAGTTCCCTGCAGTCCTCTGATTGGCCAAGTGCCCCTACTTAATCCTAGGTGTTGGCTCAGGAAGTTGTCTAAGCAACCACATAGACCTTGGCCTGCTACAATGCTGGACTTTGCCTTGTCTCCTGAGCTCTGGTCTCTGACTCCAGGCTGACTCTGATGACCCTGATTCCTGCCTCTTGATTCTAACCTGGTACTAAAAAAAGAAGAACAGGAGTACTTGTGGCACCTTAGAGACTAACAAATTTATTAGAGCATAAATAATAAATTTGTTAGTCTCTAAGGTGCCACAAGTACTCCTGTTCTTCTTTTTGCGGATACAGACTAACACGGCTGCTACTCTGTAACCTGGTACTACCTCTCATCTCTGGTCTCTGGCCCCATCCTGACTCTGACCCTGACTCTTGTTTATGAAACCTGGCCTTGTGATTCCTATAACTCTGGCCCGGCAACTCCCATCCCTGGTGGGCAGATCTCAGTCCAGCTGTGCCTGCTAGGCAAGACTGCCTATGCCTCACGTCTCTTACAAGCACAAAATTTTTCATTTCTATTTTGGGCACTTTAACAAAAGCAAAGAAGGTTGATTAACAAAATGGCCACACAACAAGGAAGAAGTTTTTCACATCTGTGTCCCATGTGAATACCCTAACCACTAGGCTAAGTCATTCTCATACTGGTGCCCTGGTCCATTGAGTATTTGTGACTCTAAGAACCCCTCAATGCCACCTGGCAAGGGTTCACTGTTCTGTAACAGCAGCTCCATCCGAACGGACGAACTCACTATACATAGCACACTGCTTTCGTAGTATTTATCTATAAAGAATGTCATGTGAGATCTAAAATGAAAGCCAGGATCATACTGGTTATTAATACTATTGTGATGTCTATGTACTGACACTATGTGTATATACTGGAAAATATGTTTTAAAGTCTGAATCAAAGCAGGGTTGACAAACAGGTTTCTGCCAGACAAAGGATGTATATTTTCCTGTCTGCCTCAGTCACATATAAATTAAGCATTGTAGGCCAACCCAATGGAAGCTCTGTGTGCATATAAAGTCTACATGAGGATGTGAAGTCAACATGAAGTCAGCATACCAGGAAATAGGTCTTCGGGGAGAGGGGGGTCACCCTTATTCTGGGGGCAAATAGTGAATTTTGGGGTGGGGGGTATAAGAAGAAGGCACACTGAGGAAGCAAAAAGGAAAGTGTTTTTTGCATTCATGAACGGGGGATCCCAGCCAGGTTGGTTGGAGATGCTGGGAGATTGCTTTAGGTGAGACAAACTACTTCAGAAAAGGGTTTAGCTAGTTAAAGGTAAGTTTAGGCTCTATGAATCTTTGTTTTATGTGTAACCATTTTTGTTTCCATTATGCTTATGCACTATGTCTTAAATCTTAGCTTTTGATAATAACCTTATGATTGTTTTCATTATAAATATATCTCAGTGCATTGTAATATTCAAACTGTGTGTACACTGTTCTTTTGAGGACAGCAAACCTGGTAATTTCTATGAGTATCCAGTGGTTAAGGGCTGGCACTGCAGGGAATGCTCTCAGGACTCGGGGGTCAGTGTGTGCCTGTCACTAACCTGTACAGAGACAGCAAGGTCTGCGGAGGCCTGGAAGACAGTGCTTGTGTTGTCAGAGGCTGTTGGTTTCAGGGAGCTGAGCTACAGCAGGCACAGATAAGTCTGTTTCATGCTAAGGGCAAGTAGTGGTGAGATCCCTCACAACCCTGGTTACCCCTGGGGAGCAACACACTATTCATTGTCCTGTATGACTGACTTTACAACCTAGTGGAGGTGTAGTCAATTATTTTTTTGTCAAAGGCCAATTTCTTGATCATGGTATAGTCAAAGTCAAGATTACAGAGAAAATAATAAAACAACAATAATTATAATAAGTAAATAAAAAGATTTTTGGGTCCATTCAAAAGCATCTGGCAGTCTGGATTTGGCCCGCGGTCTGCCTATTGAATACCCCTGGTTTACAACACACATTGTAGTAAGAAGAGGACCTGAAACATAAGCCCTTGTATGAGGCCTGAGCTACAGCAGCAGTCAAAGCTTTGGTGATATAAAGCAAAATCAGATTGTGAGCTACAGGCAGGCCCTGCTCACAGAATCTGGCAAGAACAGGGCTGATATTGCAAAAACACACATTCCTACAAGGCACTAGCCACAGAGCACTCACGCAAACACATTCCAGAAGGGTGGTACTAGAACACCTCAATGCCTACACATTCCCTAAAGATAATAGGAACATGCTGACCCCTCCTAAAGATAAGGTCAGGATGACAGTGGATCAGGAAGGTCATGGATAAAGATGTTCTGATCGAATCAACATGTAAAAGGTAATGGGTGGTAACAACCCACATCAGGGGGCAGTAACTAATCACATCAGAGGGGCAACATGTAGCATGTTTGTATTGATGTACAAAATGAAACCTCGAAGGGAGTGTTTCTGTCTGGCCTAGGAAAGTCCTGTCATTCACTGAGCTGGGGCATTAGCCCATTGTCACGGGCATACGTGTTTTGGAGTACCTGTAACCATTGAGCTGGGGCATTAGCACCATACTTCATTGGCAATAAAACTGGCCGGGTGCCTTCGCTACTAAACCAAGTCTTGTGGTTTTAATGGGCAGTTCCATCAGAACATGCTGTATGGGCTACCTGGCCAAAGCCAGTGCAGCATGCAGAAAGAATACATGCATGCAGTCCAACACCTGACAACACGGGTGACCCAAGTTCATGTCCCTACTCCAATAATTATTTAAACGAAGTGGAACAGCTTCAACAGCGGAGATAGAAAAATTCCCAGAACTGGATGTCCCATAGCCAAGTGGCTAGGCTACTCTCCTATAATGTGGTAGACCCATGTTCAAATACCTTTTACCCAAATCAGGCAGAAGGGGGAATTGAACCCAGGTCTCCCACATACTATCTGAGTGCCCTAGCCTGTAGCTAAAAGTCACAATAAGTGTGACAGCAGCACCATGTCCTGCTGCTGTTACCATTTTGAGACTCCAGCCTTAGGGGAGGTGCTGAAGAGTAAGGAGTTTCTAGAACCTACACCACCCTCCCAATCTCAGGGACAGGGCCCAGACAAGGGTGTTGTGTCCCACTACGCTGTGTTCCCACCAGGCTGTGGCAGGGCACTGACAGGCAGTGTGGTTAAGATTTGGGCCTAACATATTTGAGACCTGGCCCCAATTCTTAAGTGTACCTGAAGTGACCTTGTATAACCTCTGTATTAATTTGATTGTAAAGAAAGCAGAGTGGTAGCACATCCTTAAATGCCTCAGGGTCAGTACAACTGAGATTGGAACTCAGCCTCCTAGCTCAAGGAACAGCCTCCTAGGCTACAGGTGTTTTTGATAGAAATGTCTCTATTTTTCTCTCTGTACATGCTGTATCAGCTACAAATGGAAATGTCTGCAAATGTTTTCCTATGCAGACAATACCTGTTTAACGCAACCCTTGAGTCTTTCCAGCGCAGGAGCCGCTCATTGGTTCTTTGACTAAAGAGTTCCATCCCCTCAAAGGGCAGATCCTGATGGTGGCTTGCACCTCTTTAGATATTCTGGATGCTAGCATCCAAGAAGCCCATCTCATAGTGACAGCCACAGCCACCGACTTCTCGACTGCATCAGATGCATCCATGGGTGCCTGCAATGCCATTCTCATGAACATTTGGTCTTCTTTTAAGATTTCTTTTCACTCCCTCTTGTGCTCCTGTGGGATTTTTGACAAGAAGGGAGTGACCATCTCCCAGGTGGGGAAGCTGTATTTCACAAATAAGGCCTAGTAGTCTTCCCCCTACCTGAACTGAAGTGAGGCTAAGGAGGACACTTTGCCCTCATACTTGTCTAATTTATTTGGGTCTTTGTCCTTAGGAGTACCTTTTGAAGACCTGGATTTCTCCTGGACTGCAGAAACTACTAAAACTCTGGGCTTGGGGGGGCTTAAACATGTTCAAAGTCCTTTGGGGGCACCCAATATATTTTCTACAACTGTTTAGTGTGGAAGGAAGAGTGGCTGGGGTGTGCCAGAGTCCCTTGGCTGGCTCCAGTATGCCTTCATTGATGGGAAGGGCAATCCTGTCTGGAATAGTTGAATTGAGAATATCCAACAACGTGTGGAACGTCTCTTGTTTGACTGTTGTTTTGATGTTCATGGTCTCTGCATGGTGATACAGAAGATCCTGGAATGCTTTCAAGTCATCGACCGCTGGGGTAGGGACTGGTGTTACTGCCTCATCAGGCAATGAAGATGACTCCTTTGGGTGGAGATGGGGTGGCTGCTGACCTTCTGTTAACTCCATCAGGTCTGGCCAATTAAGTTGTTGAATAGCAGGATTTCCTCCTCTTTTTGGATGCATTAGAGGTCTATCTGCTCTGGAGCAAATGGCATAATGGACCCCAGTAAGGCTAGTATGGCCAACGTGGAACGCAACAGAGGTCTGGCTCAGTTGAGGCTAGTCAGGTCAGCTCAGTGCCAATCCCATCTTGTTTGAGGCAGAGCTTTGGGGAAAGGACTTCTGTACTGTCCTTGGAATCTGTCTCTGAAGGCAGAAGAGAGGCATCTTTGATGCCAGAGAGAAGGAGTAAATTGGCAAGGATGAGTAGCCCTCTTTGGACAGTGGTGCCATGAGGTGAGGTGTCCTTTGCATTAGGTACAGTGCCAATCACTGCTTAGGGGCAGGGAAGGTAGTGGCCTCTGCAGGGATGTATCTCTGGCCTGTAATCATAGAATAGCAGGGTTGAAAGGGACGCAGGAGATCATCCAGTCCAACCCCCTGCTCAAAGCAGGACCAATCCCCAACTAAATCCCCAAATGGCCCCCTCAAGGATTGAACTCACAATCCTGGGTTTAGCAGGATAATGCTCAAACCACTGAGCTATTCCTCCCCAGTTTGGTTGTGGGTGCTGATACTAGTACCATGGTCAGTACCAAGGCTCCTCCACCCTGAACAGTTTCTGCTTTGGCAGAGAACTTGGAGGCTGTCTCCCTAGAGAAGTGATGTTTTACATCCTCCTTGTGGGATGGTCCTACTTGCTGTTTGAAGCAGTTTATGCTCCATGGGGGATTGTCTCTTGGCGCCTCCCTTCTGTGACTGGGGATGTATATATTGACTGTGATGTTTAGGCTGCCAGTGCTGAGATTGCTGATGCCAAGGCTGTCATGCCATGAGTCCTCTGGTTGCTAGTGCCAAGGAAAATGGTGCTGAGGTTGTCGACACCAAAGTTGTTGGTGACAATTTCAAAAGTGCTCTGTTTATTGCCTTTTCTCACCACCCAATCCAGGGGTGTGGAGGAAGTGCTGACTGATGCCAACTCTTTCAGCCTTGCTTTCGTGGTTGTCATTTCCTCTAGGTCTGACGTGACCCACCAGGATTGCTCCAGCATATTGCATCTTGAGCAGCAAGTCCGTGACCTTGCTGGTCCTGGAGGAAACAGACCAAACACATGTCTGGGATAGGGTCTCCCCCAGACAGAAGAGGCAATGGCTATGTCTGTCAATGAGGAGCATGAGGCCATCACAGGACAGACAGGGTTTAGAGTCTGTCACACTGGCACAAAGCAACCTCACTCTACAGTACAGGGAGATGTCTGGGGGAGGGGGAAGAGGAGGAGGGGTCTTCCTTTTTTTGCTTTTCTTTTTTTCTATTTTTTTTAAATATGGAACATTCAAGTTAAAGAAAATAGGGGATAAGAAGGGTGAGGGTAGATTTTCTTAGTTACACTAGTCAAGAAAAGGATGACTTTGAAGGTCAGTACAATCATAGAGATGTAAGGCTGGAAAGGACCTAGAGAGGTTATTTAGTACTTCCCCCCACATGCTGTGGAATGATTAAGTACACCTAGACCAGGGGTAGGCAACCTTTCAGAAGT